GGCAGCCCGCACGATAAGTATAATATTATTTTAACATAAAAATAAATAAATTTAAAAAATATTCTTAAAAATACAAAATATTCCGAAACACAATTTGGCGCGCTATTGTGCGCCTTGTGCTACGCGCCCTGGCGCACATAGCGCGCGCTATTTTAAACACCTGCGCCGCGCCATGAACATTGCGCCATAGGTGCGCCGCGCAGCACCGTGCGCCATAGCGCGCGCTATTTTGCACCATTGACAACTATGACTTGTGGTCAGCTCAAATTAACAACATATGCTAGGCTTATAGTTAATTTTAATATTGAAAATAAGGTTCAGCAAATTCCTCGTGTACTAATTTGTTTTATTTCCTTTTTCCTTGATGTCTTGTAATGGCTTTAAGAGCATAAGATGATGAGGATTCGGTAGCTGGCTTTTTGGATTACATATTAAATTTAAAAGTGACTAAGTTTGGGATATCTGAATAACCTAGACTTTAGATCTGGGCAGATTTTGCACCAGCAATATTTGCTAATCTAAAGATGTAGAATCTATAACTAGTTAATCTAAGACATGTAATGGTTAGTTTTTTTATTCAATATAATTTCCAATTCCAATTTTCGATCTTGTGTGCCAGCTGAATTTATACTTCTTCAACTGTGATAAAAGTGTGACTAGTTAATTCTAAGAGAAATCATCTCCTTGTACCAGCATGAGATGAAGATTTAATCATTTTGGTGACATCTTTCATTTACTTAGTTTCATCTATTATTTGGTTATTGGTAATGCAAGAGTTCATATTTTGATCAAATTGTATATACTTGGAATTTCAACTGCAGCATAACTTTTTCATAGTTTAAAATTGTGTAATAAGAGACGCGCCTGCACAATTTAACGCTCAAGAGCCTCATTGCTTAAGCAATTATGGGTCTAGGTGAGGCTTACGAGCCTCAGAGGCCCAATTGCGCAATAATGGGTGAGGCACACGCCTCATAGAGGCGGGTCCCACCCACTTAAGTTCCTAATAAAAAAACCCTATTTCCTCACTTCTTTCATTCGGCCTACCCGAACCGAACGGAGTTCTCCGCAAGCCCAGATCCGCAACCTAGCTTTTCTCGGCCGGCCTTCCCGCCGGCGCCGCCTCACGCCGGTGAGTGTCTAATGTCTGACCGCCCTCTACGACACCTATACTACCAGTTTTAGGTATTTTTTTTAATTCAAGGCTATATAGCACAGATACTCCTATTTACGATGCATGATGTATCAGACACGTGTCGGATACGGATACGCCTCCGATACGGCACAGATACATGTCAGATACACATGTCCTATTAAAAAATCAAAAAAAGATACCGGAACTTAGTACCGCTCAGTACCTCTCCGCAATGCTCGATACCATGCTCAGTATCAATGCTAGATACTGCTCAGTACCGAGGGGTACCGAGGGGTACCGAATGGTACCAAGCGGCACCGAGAAGCTAGATAAAGCTTTAAAACAACTCTTACAATAAAAATTTGTTCCAGGGATTTGCCCCTTGACCCCATGAACCCCGCTAGGGGGCAGCTCCCCCATATCTGCGACATAGATTCAAGGTATGATTTTTCAAGTTATAGAAAACCTAGGGTTTAAAATTTTTTGAGATTTTTGGTTTGATTTTACATTTGTGCATTATGAAACATGGTTAGGGGCAAGGAAAAGTCAAATACGTCATTGCGGTAGGACCTTTCTTGGAAGTACAGTGTACAGGTTGACTTAGGAGGCGGCGAGAAGACATACGTGTATTTGAAATGTAATTTTTGTGATAAGGTGGTAAATGGAGGAGTTACATGCATGAAGGACCACTTATCCGGCTCACATAAAAACATTGCACCTTGTGCAAATGTGCCGGATAAGGTGAAGGAGGAAATTACTGCTTACAAGAAAAAGAGTATCACGGACAAACATTTACAACATGAGCAATTTTATGAAAGGGTCGAATATGATGCTTACTACGAGAGCGAGAGTGGAAATGACTCTTCCTCCACTATACACAGAAGAGGTGCCCAGGGTCCTATAGACCAGTATATGATTAATCCAAGAGAGGATAGAGGAAAAGCACATATGATGTCTGCAACTGGTACTAGAGAGGGTCGACGGCAAGTTTGTATGGATATTGGCAGATTATTTTTTGAGAATAACATTCCATTTAATGTTACAACATCGCCAGCCTACTTCAATATATTGCGATCTGTAGGGTTGTATGGGAGAGGGTTGAAGGTACCTTCCATGTACGAGTTGTGAACATGAATTTTGAAGGAAGAGCTACAGAACACAGAGCGGAGTATTGATGAGATTGAAAGGACATGGAGTGAGACAAGTGTTACAATTATGTCAGATGGATGATCTGACATGAAGAGCATAAGCATAATTAATATCCTTGTAAACAATCCCTATGGCACGGTGTTTTTACGATCAGTTGAAGCTTCAAATGAAGTTAAAAATGATGATTTCATTTTCAATTTATTAGATGAGGTTGTTGAGGAAATCGAGAAGCAATTGGTTGTTTAGGTGGTGACTGAGAATGCCAGTGCATACAAAGCAGCTGGTCAGATGTTGATGGAGAAGAGGAAATACCTCTATTGGACACCCTACACGGCGCACTGTATTGCTCACATATTGGAGGAATTTGGTGATTAACCTCAACACAAGAGCGCCCGTTTTAGGGCGAAGAAGATCACAAAGTTCATCTACAATCACTTAAGGGTCTTAGCCTTAATGAGAAAGTTCTCGAAGAAAGAAATCATTCGCCCTGCTACCACTAGGTACGTTATTACATTTGTGCACTGCAAAGCATTTTCAATTTCTAATGCAAGTTTATCCTACAGGTTTGCCACATCTTATTTGACATTGCAGAGCATGCTGGATGTTAGGCAAACTCTTAAATCCATATTTACTTCGACAAAATGGCTTAATTGTGTGTGGGGCAAGAAACCTGTGGGAAAGAAAATACGAAGGCTGATTCTGAATGATAAATTTTGGGCAAATGTTACCTATGCCATATTGAGCCCAAGACCTTTAGTACAAGTGCTACGATTAGTGGATGCCGAGAAGAAACCAGCCATGAGTTTTATATATAATGCAATGGATGAGACAAAGGAGTTGATTGCACATAACTTGGGAGGAGAGGCCAGTTATAGAGAGATTTGGGATATCATCGATGCTCAATGGGAGGTCCAATTACACTATCAACTACATGCAGCGGCGTATTATCTCAATCCTCAATTTCAGTATTCAGAGAGGAAACCCTCCAATCCAGAGGTGAAGCTGGGCTTGTGACATTGCATGGAGTGGCTGATATCAGACCAGACCGTCAGAAAGTTCGCAGATTTAGAACTTGTTCTATTTTAGAATAGGGATGGATTTTTTGGTCTGCAAGCAGCAAAATCTACTATTGTCAAACGCTCTCCATGTAAGCTTATTTTTTACAAAGTAATCGTACATGCATAATATTATAATATGTTCTGATTATCGTTTGTCTTGTTGAAAATAGTTGAATGGTGGATCTAATTTGGTGATTTCATCCCCGAGTTACAGAGTTTTGCAGTTAGAGTTTTGGGCCTCACTTATTCTTCCTATGGGTGTGAGCGAAACTGGAGCACATATAGTCAAGTGCAAACGAAGAGATGAAATCGACTTTCAACACTCAGAATGAACTCCCTTGTGTATATTATGCACAACAAGAGAATGAGAGATATGAGGTTGAGGAACAAGGGATAGAAGGGTGATGAAGACCCATTGGTGTGTGATGATGTGGCGTCTGATAATGAGTGATTCATAGATGATGAGACAGATTTACCATTATCAAACTTGCAGCTAGAGAAACTAAGTGTGGATGTCTTGAGGGACGAAGCAGATCAAGCGGGCACATCCACTAGTACTACACCACACACATCCACTAATATTGCAGCACAACAAGCAAATAAAGGTATCTCACAATTTCTTATGTGCTATTACATTTAAAATATATGTAATTAAAAGCACACTAATCATTCTTATTGAACAGGAAAGAGAAAAATGGGTATCATTGAAGATGATGATGATTTGACATTCATAGATATAATTGGAGATAAAGATACCTCCCTTGAAGACCCATTTAGTGATGGGACATGATTGAATTTTAGATGTTCTTTCTTATTTATACTTTGGGAGTTTTGATAGGCTTATATTTGTGATTTTGTACTTTAAATTTTGCTATGAGATGCATACATTGCATCTATTTTATTGTTTTCCACTAATTTCACATCTCATTTAGATGTTTTTATTGTATGATAGACTCTTACTGTTATTTATCTGCTATAATACTTAAATTCTCATTTACGCAATTCTTCGTCCATCAGGCTTACGCCTCGCCTCACGGACGAAAAATGCCTCGAGGCTTATTTACGCAATTTTAAACCTTGAACTTTTCAATTACCTTTTTATTTTTTCATAGTTCAAATTCTCATCAATTTCTTCGAATATAATCAATCATTGCATTAGCATTAATACAATTATTAGTATTTCAAGTTTACACTTAAAGAATGTCACTTTTTGTGCGATTACTAATTAGTGCTCCTTGAACTGTAAATCCTAACTTTTTTTTGGTGAGTTACATTCATTGCATCATCTTAGTTATATTCGGAATCCTAGACCCTTAATTGTGTTGCCTTATCAAATGTTCTTCATCCCAAAGCAAAATAGTGAAAACTAAATATTTTAATTCAACGGTTCTCCATTGTTCATGTTCCTGAAAATGGAAAGATAATGAACAATTCTCATACCTCCAGCAAAATAATTAAAATGACATTCCACAACAATTCAAATACTAGTCGAGCTTGGAAAAGATATGTAATATAATTAAATGTAAACAGAAAGAAAATAATCAAAAAGCTACCCACAAAACACGGGTAATCTCAGAATAGAATGGTTTAAATAAAAGTAACATAACAAATAAAATTTAGACAAAAAGAGAAACAAGCGCTTTGAAAAATGGACAAACCTAGCATCTTCTGCATCTTCATCGCCATCATCCAAATCCTCAAACTAAAATAAGAGAAGGGTGAGAAAATTAAATATCACCATCAACATGTCAAAAGGCAAAGAAAAAAAAATACCAAGATCATTAATGTAACTCACTTACTATTTTTAGATTAGATTCTTTCAGTAATAAGTGTAACCATTTTTTTCATTATAATTTCCATTCGAATGATTTAAAATCAAGACAAGAGTCTTGCTATGCCACTAAGAGAAAGAAATTATCAATTCTAAAATTAAAATAGAAAAAACTCATACTTCTAAGCAAGATGTGCAATTACCATAATAGAATTCAACCAAGTTAACATAAAATAACACATGAAGGAAGGGGGTTCAATAAAAATTAATATTACTAAATTCCAATGAAACAGATTAAACTTCATTATAAAATATGTTATTAGTTATTTAAATGTAAGTGCAGCAATAAATTATTTTTCAAACTAGATCAAGTATCCATCCCCATGCCTTCCCTCATTGTATGTGGCATAAGATTTTGTAGCTTCTTAGGAAGATATTTTACAATAAATGTACTTATAAAGCTTTAACGTCCAAATTCCAACTATAAATTGATTTCTAGGTAAATCTTGTTGCATGTCAACAAAGAAGATACTTATGCAATTTTCAACAATTTAAATTGTATTTGAGATGGATAATTGGTAAAACTTGTGGGAAAATAAAATCACGCAATTTGAAATTTATATTTCTATAATCAAATATCTCACAGTAATCAACAAACCACTCAAAAGACAAAAATGATGTAATAATATCATTTTGAAACAAAAATAAAATTCACCATTTTTATAATTAAATACAGCATTAAGAATAACATACTATCTCGCAAGATAGGAATAATATTTCACAATCGATTTGAAATAAATATGAGTTTTAAAAATATGTCGACGTACCCAGAGAATTTTTTCATAACTTAGAGAACTAAAATAAGATTTATTTTAAACTAGGGTTCTAAGCTCCCCATAAAGGCAATCCTATATTAATTACATCCCAAGAGAAGTTCTTGAGAATGCTCTCGATTAAAGTAATTACTAAATATTTATTGAAATTCAACATTTCAGGCAAGGTTTAGAGATTAAGGATGTGCAACAGGGATTGGATCAAATGTGATCAATTCTTCCTAGAGTTCATAATCAAAAACTACAATTCTAAGAACATTGAGGTATTCCAACCTAATTTACAACTGAGCTTTAGCATCTTAGGGCAAAATGAAATTTTATGTTTAAGTTGATCAATTTATTAAAAAAATAAGATTCTATTCCTAGAGAGTGAGAACTTATGATTGAGTCTGCCTCATAACTTAGATCTAAGGTGAACCACTATGGAGTAGTGATTCAAATTTAGTCTAAAGAGGTGCAAGTATTTATAAGGTGGAACTTATACCTTCAAACCCTAAAAGAATTCAAAGGGAAGTTTGATGCTATTGAACTTATATCTTTTTGGAGTGAAATGTCAGTTAAATCATTTAAACGCTTTAAAATTATGAATTTAAATATTTATGATATGTAGGATACACAGGTTATTATTTATTTAAGAAATAAGGGTTTATAGTTCAAAATTTTAAATCAAGATTAATTAAATATGCAAAGGGGTTTAGATGAATCTAACTAATGCACTTAAAATATTTTCCCTAATATCTAAATATTTTGAATGCACTAATGCAATTCTATATGAAAGAAAAGAAAATTCAATTTTCTAAGAAAATCCGGCAATAAAAAGAACTTATACCAATCGGAATAGGAAGTTCAGCCCCGTCGCTTAGGCCACCCCTCACTTAATGTCAGCATGTATGAGTTTTGTGTATGTAGCAGAGAAGTAAAATGCACGGCATGCTCACAAGAAAAGTAAAATGATGATGTTTTAAATGATAAATTCCAAAGATCCTAGAAGCCTAACATATATCCAGGAAAAAGCACATATAAGTGAAGAAAATTAAGAAAAAACAAAAGTTCTAATGCACAATCAAAATAAATACATCAATCAATAACAACAACCAATAATCATCCAAAGTATATCAAAAGAGTTCATGTAGCAAGTGTTATTTATATACAACTCACGGTTTGTGGTAAATAAATGGTGGCTAAGCTCTACCTTAAACGAGTTTGGATGTCTACACAAAGGTTTGAAGCAGGTCATATACAAAATCAGATTGTTTATTGTCTATAGGCTCTCCCGCTATGATCATCCTTCTAAAAGCTTTTAAAAGACTCCATCTTTAAAAGAAGATTCATTCTTTTAGTTCATTTTAGTTAGGATAAACAATCACATTTTGAACTCACACATTTGATACATATTTTACAAATTACATTTTGAGAAAAGAAAAAAAACTTTATACACATGCAAGATTAGTATAAAAAACAATATATATATACACCACAACATCACAATCACATCATAAAACAATTGCTCACTTTTCAACAACTTGTAACTTTGGCTATTCTTTTTATTTGATTAGGGGGCCAAGGAACAAAATCACTTGTAAAGCAATTATATACATGCATAAATTTAAATTTGATTAGCCCTCTTTTAATAGTCCTACATAAGCATAGTCATCTGCAAAAAATTGGATTAGTAATAAGAAGATCAAAAGGTCCTAATCTAAGATATCTATCCACTCATCACCAAATCATCACATCATAATCACAAGTATAATCAATCACATCAAATATAGCACATATTCAGCAACACTACTAATCAAATAATATATATATACACAACTACAGGTGCACGAAGTAAAACATATAAAATAACACCGCTTCAAGCCTACGACTAGAGTTGGTTATTCTATCAAACAATTCAAAGTATATGTTAGACTGTGTAGCTTGATTGTTTCCTATTTAAGTGTAGGGTTAAATTTTTTACTATTTAAGTTTGTTGTGGGCTAAAAGAAATTTCTTTTAAGTTTAAATATTAATAAATAATATATTTTATTTTATATATATATATATATATATATTAATTTGAAGTTTGAATTTTTATTATTTTATTTTAAAGAATATATTAATCAATGAACATATAGTGCAATAAATTCATTAATCAAACACATCCTATGCCTTAAGAAGAAAAAATTAAGAAAATTAAGCAATCACGTAAGGTTATAGCTTTTAGGTTATTTATTTATTTCATTAATGTTTTAAGAAAATTATTTATGTTTATGTTTTAAAGATTGTTATGTTTTTTTAATGAGTTTGAATTATGATTAAAGTTTGATTATTGAATCTTATTATGAATATTTTGTTATTAGTCATATTCGAAAGGATTTCTTATACTTATTCTTGATTTATAGGTTTGAACAAAATTTGACTTCAACTTTTTTTATTAAATTATTTTTATAATGTTTTTAAGTTCATTAAAATAAGATAATTTTCATTTTTTATTTATATAGATGTTCATGAATTATTTATGAATTTTATAAATTTAGTTTATTATAATTGTCTTTATATATGAAGGATTTAAGGTTTGATGATTAAGCCTTCAAATGAATTCCAAATTCCATAAAATTTAGTCAATTGATCATTACTGACTTAATGATCAAGCTATGAGAGTTGAGAGTCATTTAAAATTATTTAGCATTTATTAAGTTGTTGAACTTTTAAATTCTTTAAGGGTGGTTATACCTAAATTTAACTTATATTTGACTTTAACTTTAAAGTTGAAATTTAGTTTAAGTTTTATTTTCATATAGCTTTTATGTTTATTTAAAGAGGATGTAATTAAATTTATATTTTTATGATTTTTATTGAATTATTTAGGAATTTTCAAAGTTAAGCCTTATTTATTCAAGGATTATTTGTAAAGAGGATTAAGGTTCATTATTTACCATATCAAATGACTTCAAATGATCATGATATCTTCAATATAGGTCAGGGATGATCTAATATGACATTTTTGAAAAATTGAAATTATTTGGATTAATGATTTATTTAATTAAACCTTTTAGTAATGTTTAATTAGCCAAATTAGGATTTTAATATGATTTCAGAGATGGTTTTATTGAGCTTTTTATTTTAAGTCTAGTACAATTTAGTTTTTTTTAGAAGTTTTCTATATTTAATTATTTATTTTAAAATTTCCTAGGTCACTTTAGAGGCTGATTTTAAGATTTACTAATTAATTATCCAAATGAGCTCAAATCATCATAAAATTAAATTCATGAGTCCCTAAGGATCTTAGGAAATTCCCATAAAAATTTGAGGGCATTTAGGTTAACCTATAATTTCATCAAAAACTTCTAAGGCGACTGGCGCAAAACTTGCAAAATTCCCCTAAGCTAATCTAGGTTTAGTTTGAGGTGAAAACAGTGGCTAACTAATCCTCACACATGCATCTACAAACCATATAAATTTCACAACCTAATCCTCTATGTATTTAGAGTAATTGAATTTTGTATTTCTATGTCAAAACCTGACTCAGAACTTCGAAAATTCAATTAAGGCAAGAGATAGATTCAAACTGACCTGATAAAATTCAGGGATGCTAAACATTCCTAAATTAACTCCACAACAAATTTGAAGCTATTCCAATGAATTGAGACATGCAATTATATTAAACAACAAATGCATTGTATTAATTATAAAGAAAAATTAATTCATCAACTGGCCTAAGAATTATTTTATGGATAGGGTTCATCAATACAAATCCATAGAGGGTCTAATTGTTTAATTCAATCCACTGGATCAATAGTTATGAATTTCCTAAATTCAGGCCATTAAATTAATTAAATGCATATATTAACTCAGTTACACAGTCGGTTGTTGAGTCGGGCGCACTTCTCTGCAAGGCCGCCTCTGACTGGATACTTATATAACAATAGGCCACAGTGACAAATAAGCATTATTAGTCTAAGCCGTTCAACCCAAAATCGAATAGTTGGGATTAAGAGGTTCAAAACCACGAGCCGTCATATAGGTTCCACACAACAAAATCATAATCATTTTGTGAAAAAGAAAAACATTAAAATGGTCCCTTAACTCTTTCAAATGGACCAAAATGGTCCT